GTGCTTTTTTCATTTTATTTTAGTATGTACTGTTTTTACTGCTTCTCTTAGATGATTACATAAACGGTCAGTATCTTATCATAAAATGTGGACATCTCCCATGGTGTGCCAACGGGGGCTGTAGCATGATGTGGGCTATTCATGCTTTTCTTAAATACCCTTAGGTCATGGGGCTCAGGAGGGTGGGCTCACCCCATCTGGTTCTTCTGAGCACATACTGTATAGCCTAATGCAGTTTCTGGTCACGAAGCAGCAGTGCTGAATGTATCAGGGGTGGGTCTAACAAGTTTTACATGGCTGAGTGGGATGTTGACTTACTAAGCAACCAGAACAGGCAGAATGTGAAGTCTTCTGAAGCAGTTTTATTGTTTAATAACCTCTAGATATGTTTTTCCCTTCTCTTTCAACAGAATTAAATGTTACCCAAACCTGATTGTTCCACTCTGCCTGGCACTATCATATATGTAGCTATAGCTCATCAATTGCTTTAGTGTGTGATCTTATCTAAGGTTCACTAAAGCTATAGGTGGTTTTCACTCATTGCTTCACATTTCAAATCACATTCAAAACGTGAAAATAGTCCACTTTTTTTCTGGCTGTATTAACTGGACCAGAGCTGGCTATACTTAGAGTATTTCCACAGGTGAAAAACCCACAGGTGAACTTTACATATTAATGGGTCATTTCATGCAAATGCAACATCAGCTCTTTTCTCACAGTCAGGCCTGGTGTCATTTGCAAGTGTTTGAAAACAGCTGCAGACATTTGCTTTCAAAGTCTCTTTCTGTACAAAATAATATCTGCAGTGCTTGAAATTCATATCATTCATATAGCTGACAGGCAAATACAGTTGGGTGCTTTTATAATAGCTGGTCTTGGTTATGAGGGCTTGACTTCAAAGACGTTTTTAAGTAAATTGCTGACAGCAATAACTCTGGATTGTTTATGGAACTATGTATTTCTTCAAGAAAATAGTTATTGTCAGGTAAATTTTGTGCTTGTGCTGCCATTTTTTATGAGACTTGTCTTGGACTACATTCCAGATCTCATTAAACTACCTGTATAAAACTGCCTGTGTCCATTATGTAGAGTCATATCATTCCATCATCTGGATGAACTCCTCTCCAGTCTCACTCTGTCT